CTTCACCGGTTGCACGGCATAATTCAAGTCTTCCCGTATCTCCACGGGTGGTTTTTCTAATACATGAGATGGATCCGGCATATACTTCTTAAGCATAGACACATGGAATACGTTATGTATCTTCTCCAATTCTGGAGTCAACTGTAATCGGTATGCCACGGCCCCAATCCTCTCGAGAACCACGAATGGCCCTATGTATCGTGGGTTAAGTTTCCCTCGGCTCTGAAATCGGATGATTTCCTTCCAAGGTGAAACTTTCAAAAATACTTCATCTCCCACCTTAAACTCCAAGGCTCTTCGGCGCTTATCGGCATAACTTTTCTGTCTATCCTGGGCCGTCTTAAGTCTCTCACGAATCATCTTCACCTTAGACTTGGTGATCTCCACCAATTTCGTGCTCTCGAGTTTGGCCATGCCAACCTCATCCCAACACAACGGTGTACGACATTTCCTCCCATACAATGCCTCGTATGGAGGCATGCCTATACTTGCCTGATAACTATTGTTATAGGCAAACTCCACAAGTGATAAATGGTTGTCCCAACTCCCTTGGAACTCCAATGCACAAGCTCTCAGCATATCCTCTAATATCTGTATAACCCGCTCAGATTGCCCATCCGTTTGTGGATGAAAAGCTGTACTGAATTTTAACTTTGTCCCCATAGATTCTTGGAATTTCGGCCAAAATCGTGATGTGAATCGCGGATCTCTATCGGATACAATGGTTATAGGAACCCCATGTAGCCTCACGATCTTGTCCACATATAACTTGGCTAACCTCTCCAGTGCATAGGTAGTGTTGATAGGTAGGAAGTGTGCACTCTTTGTGAGCCTATCGACCACAACCCATACGGCATCATAGTTCTTAACCGTTCGTGGCAGCCCCACCACGAAATCCATAGTCACGTGCTCCCACTTCCATTCAGGAATGAAAAGTGGCTGTAGTAACCCAGCCGGATGCTGATGTTCTGCCTTAACTTGCTGACAAGTAAGACACCTACTGATGTACTCGGCTATCTCCCGCTTCATACCCGACCACCAGTAACTTTCCTTCAAATCACGGTACATCTTCGTGCCCCCCGGGTGCATGGCATACGCCGATGAATGAGCCTCCTCTAAGATGGACCTTCGGAGCTCATCATCCAACGGTACACACACTCGGTCACGAAATCATAAGAGACCATCGTCTCTCTCCCTGAAATCCTCAACCGGTCCCGCTAGCATGCGTTCACGGATCTTCATAAGTTCTTCGTCGGTTTCTTGACCCTTCTTGATTTCGTCAAGTAATGTAGGTCTCACCTCGAATCTAGCTAACAAGGCACCATCGCTAGATACCTCCAATTGGGCTCTCAATGCCCTCAAGCTAGTCAATAATGCCCCAGATGAATTCTTTCGGCTCAAGGCATCCGCTACCACGTTGGCTTTACCGGGGTGGTACTCGATAACTAGATGGTAGTCTTTTATCAACTCCATCCACCGTCTCTGTCTCATGTTTAACTCTTTCTGAGTAAACACGTACTTCAGGCTTTTGTGGTCGGTGTATATATGACATGTTTCCCCGTAGAGATAATGTCTCCAAATCTTCAATGCGAACACCACCGCCCCCAGCTCTAAGTCATGAGTGGGATAATTTACCTCATGCTTCTTCAACTGTCGTGAAGCATAGGCAATCACCCTCCCATTCTGCATCAAGACACATCCAAGCCCTTGGATGCTTGCGTCGCTGTAGACATCGTACCCCACACCCTGTTTGGGTAGTGCGAGTACCGGTGCCTCGGTCAACCTCTTCTTCAGTTCAAGTAATCCCTTCTCACAACGGTCATCCCATACAAACTTAGCCCCCTTTCGAGTGAGCTTTGTCAATGGCGATGCCAAAACTGAGAACCTCTCCACAAATTTTCGGTAGTACCCTGCCAATCCAAGGAAGCTACGAATTTCCTTGACGTTCTTTGGCCTCTCCCATTCAGTAATGGCCTCAATCTTCTTGTTATCTACGGCAATCCCTGATCCCGAAACCACATGCCCGAGAAAGCCAATCTCCCTTAGCCAAAATTCACATTTGGAAAACTTGGCATAGAGTTGCTTCTCCCGTAGTGTCTCAAGAACAAGTATCAAGTGCTCCTCATGTTCTTCTTCACTCTTCGAGTAAATCAGGATATCATCTATGAACACAATCACAAACCGGTCCAAGTATTTATGAAATACTCGGTTCATCAAGTCCATAAATGCCACCGGGGCGTTGGTCAGCCCGAACGACATAACTAGGAACTCGAAATGACCATACCTTGTGCGGAAGGCACTCTTCGGTATGTCATCCTCCTTTATTTTCAGTCGGTGGTACCCCGACCTCAAGTCAATCTTCGAAAACACCGTCGCTCCTTGGAGCTGATCAAACAAGTCATCAATCCTAGGCAAGGGATACCTATTTTTGATTGTGACCTTGTTCAGTTGACGATAGTTAATGCACATTCGAAGTGTTCCATCTTTCTTTTTCACGAAAAGGACCGGTGCTCCCCACGGAGAGTGACTCGGCCTTATGAAACCGTTGTCCAATAGCTCTTGCAATTGGGTTTTCAACTCGTTAAGTTCAGCGGGTGCCATTCTGTATGGCGGTATAGAGATTGGTTTGGTGCCGGGTTCAACCTCGATCACGAACTCAATCTCCCTATCGGGTGGAAGTCCCGACAAGTCTTTTGGGAAGACATCCGGATACTTGCACACTATTCTCACATCATTGATGTCTACTTCTTCCTTGGTTTTGTCCACCACATACGCTAGGTACGCGTGGCATCCCTTTCTCATCATATTCCTCGCCCTCACGGCGGATATGATACAACTGTTTGATTTGCCTCTATCTCCCTCGAAGCGTAAGGTCAACCCTTCACCGCCTTCGAGTTCAGCAATCTTCGTGTAGCAATCGACCCTAGCATGATGTTTCTCGAGCCAATCCATCCTGAGGATTGCATCAAACTCGATCATGCTCAGCGGTACGAAGTCACACGTCAAGTTCTGTCCCTCCACCTCCACCTCACACGATGGATAGTGGCTATCTCTCTCGATATCATCCCCTAGAGGCGTGGACACCAATAAGGTTTGAGTCATCGGTACAAGTGGTCCGTTGAATCCGCTGGCGAACGCCTCACTCACAAATGATCGTTGTGCCCCGATATCAATAAGGATCCTTGCGTCTCTCCCGTTTATCTTTAGTGTTCCTACATTCATAAGTAATGTAAAACACACTATCTAATTAATAGGCTTGTTTCTCAAGTCATAGAGTATGTTGGTTGTGGTTCGGGTGGGGTCCGTTTGACACCCGTCCGAAAATTCCCGGTTACTAGCCTTTAGGACCGTTCTAGGACCCAACTAGGTGAAAGCCGGCCGCTTTTCACGAAAGCTGGCCGGTTTTCGTCTGCGAGAAAAATCCCATTATGGAAATCACGAAATCCGGGCGGCTTTCACGAAAGCCGGCCGGTTTTCGTCGCCGTGGTTTTATTTGCGGAATGGTTTCGAAGGTTGGCCGGTTTCTACGATACCCGGCCGGGTTTCAGCAGCGCAGGAGTCCCCAGGCCTATCGAAAGCCGGGCGGCTTTCACGACAGCCGGGCGGCTTTCAGCTGCGAGAAATTCTCCAGGTGGGGTATTTACGAAAGCCGGCCGGTCTTTACAAAAGCCGGCCAGTTTTTGGTTGCGAGAATTTTTTCTGAATTATTCTTGACGAAAGCCGGGCGGTTCTCGGTGGAAGCCGGCCGGCATTCGTTGCCGTAATATTTTCCCCAAAAATCAAGACGAAAGTCGGGCGGCTTTCGTCAATGCCGGGCGGCTTTCGTCAATGCCGGGCGGCATTTGTCCAGGGCGAGGATTCTCCTCCCCTTTTCCTCTTCAAACCCGACCAAACTCGTCGGGGTTATAATTTAACAAGTTTCACACTCATGTTGTCTATAATAGATTAATACTTGAGTTTAAGGAATTACCCGCAACGGAGTCCGGGTTGGCACGAGCATCCGCCTCCGTCATAGCATAGACCCGAGCTTGGGTCCTTCCTTGATTTACGGATGGCGCGTTGCTTGCGCTTGCCCCACCGTGCCCACCGCTAGCATTTGGTGCTCCGGTTCGGTTCCTGCTCACCGTAGTTGCACTACTCGGTCCGGCCCCCATGGCTCGCCCAAGTTGTGGGCAACTCATCTTCAAATGCCCGACCTCCCCGCATTGATAGCACCTCGGGGGATCGCGGCACTTGCCAAAGTGGTTCTTCTTGCAGTTGCTGCACTTCTTCACGCCTGAGCCTTGTGACGCAGAGCTTTGCCCGCTCGGGCCTTGATTTCCCCTTACCGGTGGTGCAGGGGTTTTGAAGGATCCGCCTCCCCCGTGGTTCCCCTTCTTGTTGGAACCTTGAGGGCCATGGTTCTCCCATTTTCTTTTCTTTGCCTCCTCGGCATTCCTTCGTTTCCTTTCCTCCCACTCTTTCTCCCCCTTCAAGCCTTGTTCAACCACTTGACTAAACGTCATATTATGCAATTGTGTTGCCCTCTCGCGTATGTAAGGGTCCAAGGCATCCCAGAAGTGGTTCACCATCCGGTTTTCATCACAAATGTACTCCGGTATGAACTCAGCAAACTTTCTGAATTTGTGCTCGAGTTCCTTCACCGTACATTCACCCCCTTGGGTCAAATTCGTGTACTCCCTCCTCTTCAAGTTCACCTCGAAGTCGGAGTAGTATTGGCTGAAGAACTCCTGTCTGAAATTCTCCCAAGTGACGGCCTCACCGTACATCCCTTTTGTTCCATCCAACCATGTGGACGCCATGCCTTCTAGTAGCCTCGTGGCTACCCTCAGCTTCATGTGGGGTGGTAGTTGCATGTCGAGGGCCGCTTCGTTGAATCTTTTGATCCACTCGGCCGCCACGGATATGTCCCCCGTTCCATCAAACGGTTTACATCCCAAGTCCCTTGCCTCCCTGAGGTACTTTGAGATCCTTATTATAGGGACCTCAGCACCCCCCCCCCCCTCCTCGGGATTCTATGATCTCCCGGGGAGTCACGCGGCTTCCTCTCCTTGAAGCCCCTTCCAAAGCACGCCTTGTCCGGCGCCTTTGGCGATCTTGGTGGTATTGCCGGAGCAATTCCTCAATCCGCTCGAGAGCTTCATTATCGTCGCTCTCGTCACTTGCATCATCGTATTCCCCATCATATGGGGTCTCAACCGGCTCAGTCCCCGGTCGGTAAGTTGAATCCTCCTCGGACTCATAGTGCTCGTCTATAGTTTCCACATGACCGTCACTCACGGGCAGCGAGTGGCCTGCACGGCCTTGTCTCCTAGACACCCTCGATCCTCCTCGACTGCCACGTTGGGATCCTCCCGGTGCTTGGCTAGTCGGGTTCCGTCGAGTAACCTTCCCGGTACGTTCCATTTCTGAAAGAAATTTAGAATGAGTCATTAGACTCGTATCAAATGTCAATTGACGGATAGACACTTAAAGACATCTTTTGGCTCAAATCGCCGCCATACCAATTGCTAAGGGTACCATCTTAACAATTAGAGACATTGCAACTCAAGTACCAAAAGTTCTATAAGTACAAAACTTTATGCTCATGGTTTTCAAATTCGTTTTCAAAAGAAATTTTGAAGCTTCATTATGATGTTTACGGACTAAGGGCTCTGATACCAATTAAATTGTCACGCCCCGGGCCTAGCCGGACACGTCAACAACCCGCCATACAGTACGAATAGTCAACCGTAGTCCAACTCGTCCATACTATACATGGCGTCATGAATATCTTTCACACATAGTACATCCATAAACAAACATAATGTAAAACATGCATTTAAAACAGCGAAAGAATTAATACAATTGTTCAAGCCACACTTGGCATAACTAGGCATACAAGCCCCCAAAGTAATTATTAAGAAAATAGTATCCATGAGCATTAACTAAATTGTTTTTAAAACAGAACGGAAGAAGCACGAACCACGTCTTCCTCCCTTGAGCCTCCCGAAGCAACGGGCAATGGTAGCAACTTCAAGTTCTACCTGAAACTGTGAGGTGGCCTCCCCCGTGAAGGGGAGGTCAGTACTTGGAAATATTTGACAAGTACAATAGCAACTATACTAAGTATAATCAACGTTTTAATTTCTAAGACCCTCAAAATAGGGTGGTATCATAATATAAATAATAATTTATATTTCCCACTTATTATCTTTATAATAAGTAAATTTATTTATTTGTCGGCACACGGCCCTTCTTATATATCCTTTTTCATTTATCATTTGCACAACCCAACCCTTGGGTCCTATTATTTCTACGGGACTTGCTACCGCTGCCCGAGACCTCATGAGGCTCCCGGTTCGGACTCCAACATCCCGCCCCTGGACTCGTACCCATCATCCCATAGGAAGGTAAGGCCCTTCGGGGTCCTATCTTATGTGTTACCGCTACCGGAACCTAGTAGGTCTCCGATTCGGATTCCACCCTAACCCGTGATCACGATGTAAGTCCATGCTATCCAACCCCGCTCTCTAGAGTCGGGAAGGACCATGGTCCTTACTATTTCCATAATTCAACCGGCTATCCACAAGAATTACCGATCACACCCGTAGGCCAATCCTATACTTAGGATCAATTTAATATTTACACTATCTTGGGTATCCCTTAAGGCCTACCCCTAGTATAACTTAAAGTTTATACTTTCCTACCTTAAAGCATCTCTTAAGACTACTTAAGGCATAACACTTCACAATCCAACCTTAGGATCAATCTTAACAACATTTCATTTTAATGTCCAACTAGTATCTTAATACTAGTCAAATTAATATCAACAAACCAAGTTCTCAACTCATAGTCATATAGACAATTCCAACTGATTTTCCTTTGAAAATATCATTTATCTCAATATCCCAAAATATCACTTTTAATCACTCATATATTCTAATATGGAGAAAAAGTATATTTCAACACATGTTTCATAATAAATTCCACTTTCAAGTCAACATACTCATAACACATGAACATACACAATTTAGTCCTAAATTTGTATGTCATGCTCCTTTTTCTCTCGACATTTAGTCTTTTCATTTTTAGGCATTATCAATCATTAATAATCCATAAAAACACATTTAATTACCTTCGGTAATCTCATGAAATTAACTCACTAATTATAAGCAATATAGTCAGTCATCCTCACCTCGAATTTGCTTGAAGAAGCTCTACCCTTCTAGGTTGAACTCCGGCAATACTCCGGTGAACTCCGGCGAAACTCCGACGAGACTCCGGCGAGACTTAGGAACACTTTAGTCAAGTTCCTAACAAGGTTTTATCATCACAAAACCCATATCAACACAAATAACCCTTGAAAGGTTATTTTCCGGCGAACCGGTCATTTGGCTTCTAAGTCCGTTCTTGGACTTAGAACTACCTTCCAACCCCTTGTTCTACACTTCTAAACATGAAGAACAATCCTAGGGGTCCTAAGTATGATATATAAGTTTTAGGGTAGCTAAGAAGTAGAGAAAAAGTTAGTATGAGTTCATTACCTTGATTCTTCACACTTTTTCTACCTTTCTTCTTCTCCAAACCTCTTCTTTTTTCTTGTTTGAGCTTGAGCTCGAGTTGGCTATGGAAGGTGAGGTTTTCAGAGCTCCTTGGCCTTCTTTTCTTGGTGCTGGACGAGTACAATGAGTGGGAGAGGAGGGAGGATGGTACTTTTGTCCTTGGTTGACAATTTTGGTTGAGGTTAGGGGTCCCTTAGGTGTCAAGATGGTCTCCCCCATCCCTTCAATGGATTTCATCCACCCTTTAGCTCATGCCAGCCTCCAAGAGCTGGGAAAATTCGTGGTTTGGCCCCCACTTGTGTGGGACGTCACCCCTTTTTGTCCAGACGTGCATAATCGGTCCCGAAAGTTGCATTTTTCGGCCCGTTTTATTCATATTTTATTTTATCGGGCCAAATAAAATATATCACGTGTCCCTAATAATTATGGACCTTTAGAATAGATGTATATTCCCCAACATTAATTTAGGAGTCTCCGAAACTCATTTCGGGCTGTTATCCGTTAAATTGCCAATACCGGTAATTGGGCCCCGTTTGACCAACCGGTCAACTCCATGCCTTTCTTATGGCCCAAATAAAATATCCACCACCATATACATATTATCTAGACCAAGATGAATATAATATGTGGTTCGGAAATTATCGGGCGGTCCACGTTCCCGCTGTGGGCCCCACATGCAATTTACTATTCACGTAAAAGAAATAATGAAATTTAACAATTACGTAAATTCATAAATCATCCTTCAAGGTTTATTACATAATTTACTAAAAGTAAATATGCTCGGGGTCGTTATTACAGAACGGGGCATAATTTACACTTCTTCTGGATTGATGGATTAGCAGTTCTTAATGTCGACCGGGGACTCGCTCAAGTGGTAGGTTGCATTTAATGCTCGAGTATGGAGCTCACAAGTGGGAACATGGAGGCACAAGTGACACAGAAAGCAACCAATCATCTTGGAGCACCCATACCTCCCACCTACCCACCTCTAGTATAAATAGCAACATTTAATTCATTGTAAGGGATTATCATATGTTTCCTCACTAACTTATATTGCATTCTAGCTCTTGTATTAGCTGTTGGACCGTAACTGCCGTTCGACCACTTCCTTGTAATCGTAATTACTGTGTTAATACAAGCAAGACTATTTTAGTGAATCAATCAGTTCTTATATTTTTTTTGTACACTTTACTGTATCAATCTTATCCTAGATCCAAGGTTGGTGTTGGGCCTTCGAGTCATTCACGACTTCAACCCAACATACTTGTATATCCCATATATGTTAATAAAATTCCCCCCTTTTTATAAAAAAACGATATGGGTGAGGCCGTTGTTTAGACTGAGTATATTCTAGTAAGTATTACTCCGCAGATCATACCAGTCCTCTGTTATTTGAAGGGTAAATTGGATATTTAACTTATTTTATTCACTAATATTTATTTTGGGGGCTGCAGTTAGTAATACCAAGGCCGTAAATACAATTATCCATATTTACTAGACCCAACATTTTTGGAAAACGTGCACAATTACATAATAGGAAAATTGCCCTAAATAGGTAAATGATTTTCTTCTCGAAATAGAAGTTGTTACTGACATGTATGAAAAATACTGTCATTAATTATAATAAATACTGTCATTAATTATAATAAATACTGTCATGTTAAATTGATTCTACTGCAACTATTTGATAGTCACGCATACAAGATGATAGTAAATACTGCCATGTTACTCCTATTTTGAAAATAAAAATATAGTAGTCCTATTTTAGAATTTCAAACTTCATCTAGGTAATAAAGTAAATATTGTGATTTTAGTCATATTTTGGGAACAAAAATGTAGATAGTTTTGGGAAATCTCCCATATGCTTAGGTGGGCTTGATTTTCTCTAGAAATGCGTCAGATAAGAAATCTCCCTTACTCCCGTCGCAGAAAAACAACAACCGGAAATGTCTGTGCTGAGTCTGCTGACTGGGGGTTCTTTTCTTTTTGTGTTTCTTCTCGTTGCCAACAATATTGATTGTGGGAAAGGGTATCCTTCCTCCGTGGATCCTAATGTCCAGCAGCAGAAACTGGATGCAATATCGGACTTGCCAGGTCTGGGCTTTAATGTCAGCTTTGCTCATTATTCTGGGTATGTGACTGTGAACGAGGAGTCTGGCAGATCTCTCTTTTACTGGTTCTTTGAGTCTGTCGAGGATCCTTCTTCCAAACCTCTTGTTCTTTGGCTCAATGGAGGTCCACCCTTTTCTCTCCTCATCTTTACTAAATGGCCAACCTTTTTGTTTGCTCGAAAAATATTTATTGTTTCATTTTCTTGAACATAATTTGCCTTTTTTGACTATCTATTAAAAGAAGTTACGAACTTTATGTTTGTTCTATTTATCATTCTTTAGTTTTTAGAGTGGTTCACTTGGAGCATCTCTAATAACTCTAATATAACGGTGCTTGGCACGGGAGAGATAGACCCAAAAAAAACTAATTAATATACTCCGTAATATCTTTCTCATTATTTGATTAGTCTTGTCCATTTTTTTGTAGTTATTTCTCGGAAAACGTTTAGTAGTAGACATTGTGCTCAACATGTTTACTAAAATTATTAACTAAAATATAGAAGACCCTGTAAAGAACTTAAGAAAGAGAGAGAAATTTCATTAATTTATCGACTCTTTGCAGGGCCTGGATGTTCATCCATTGCTTTTGGGTTGGCCGAGGAAGTTGGGCCTTTTCATGTTGAGAAAGATGGGAAGACTCTATATTGGAATCCTTACTCTTGGAATTTAGGTATGCATTTTTCAGGCTTTAAACCCGTCTGGTAAGAGCAATATTTTTGGAAAATAGCTAAATTGTTTAAACTTGATGAAGTGATTTAAAATGGCTGAATGGAATGAAGTTTCAAAAAATGTTCCATAAACGATTTAAAAAAGTCAAAGATAATAGTAATGTTTGTAAAACAACTGAATTGGTCAAAGTGGTTGAAAGTGTGATTGATATTGATGAAGGGAAACAAGCTATCTATTTAATTTTTATTTTACCATGGGGCTGGGGTGTAGGGTAAATAGAGCTGAAACTGCTCCCACTGAGTTTCGAACCAACTCCCATATGGGAGAATGAGGTCGGCGACCAGTTTAGCGGGACCACTTCCTCAATCTATTTAAATACTATCACGTACATTTTAAAAAAATGTTCATCAATAAAGATAAATATTACATATGGAAATAAAAGTTAGGTGTCATTTCTCCCCGCTTAAGCTGAAAGCTTAAAAGCATAAGTTTTACAATGCTTCTTTTCTAACTATGAACCAATTCAGCCCGTGCGGACAAATAAGCTAGTGTTTAGTAGCTTGTTTACCAAACAGGCACTTAATAATACAGATCATTGTTGACTTGATAGTTAAGAAATAAACATTCTATCGTCACAATTGCTTGGTAACATTAAAACCTCACAATAGACTGCATAATAAACAATCTTTTTAGTACTTGATAGGCTTGGTCGTTGGTTGTACCAAACTGCCACACTGCAGTCACTGCATCTAGTTACATTTGTCACTTTGAAATTTGCAGAAGTATGATCTGCCATTGCCTCATTGAGAAACTAAATATGACGATTCAGGTGATTTCTAATGAAAGTTTTAACTGATCTTTTTCTGTTTGATTTATTTTGTCTGCAGTCGCAAATCTGTTGTTTGTTGATTCTCCTGTTGGGGTTGGTTATTCGTATTCAAATACTTCGTCTGATAATCTTAGTAATGGTGATAAAAGGACAGGTAGAACTTTAAGTTCACAATTTTCTAGAATATATCTTCATATTCTTATTTACATTTCGTGTATGAACTGCAAAGCATCCACATTTTGTGTTACAGCTGCAGATTCCCTTGAGTTCTTGCTGAAATGGTTTGAACGGTTTCCACAATATAAAGGAAGAGAGTTTTATCTCACAGGAGAGAGCTACGCCGGTGAGTTATTTCTTACTTGTATCCTCATTATTTGAATGAGGACATTATTGTTTGGAAATGTTAAGCCATCCATCACATTTAAATAAAGTATGAAGATACATATTAGCACTATATTTTAGAAAGACTCTATAAGAGCACTCAGATTTCAACACTAATCAATTCCACATCAATAAAATATAAAGGTACAAACTAATACCGGAGATTTCGTTACTCGTGCAAACTGGGTTGTACTCTTATGATGAGTCAACAAGTTTTTATACAAAAACACTAGAAGTTAGTGCATTTTACTTGGTATAATATTTTCATCTTTGTGCCAACACTAGAAACTAAATGTCATTTTTTTTGTTTTGTTTCAGGGCATTATGTTCCTCAGCTAGGTCAGGCCATTGTCAAGCACAATACCAATGTAAAGGACAATGTGATCAACTTAAAAGGTTTCATGGTATGCTACTTCCTTTTCCCACGGGGAAGAACAAAAAAAGTAGAAAAACAGTTAAAAAAGGAACTGAAAATGAGAAAATATGACGCTACAGTAGTTTTCTTTTTCAGCTATATATTAAATAGTGTGTTTGCTTATTGCACAGGTGGGAAATGCTTTGACTGACGACTACCATGACCACTTGGGTCTTTTCCAATTTATGTGGGCTTCTGGTATGATTTCTGATCAAACATTCAAGCAAGCAAACCTTTTGTGTGACTTCCAATCGTTTGTCCGCCCCTCAGAGGAATGTGAAAAGATTTTAGATATTGCTAGCGAAGAATATGGAAATATTGATGTCTACAGCATATTTACCCCAACATGTACATCAAATTTAAATGTAACGAGCGGGGTATTAAAAAAGAGTGATGTAAGTGCAGTTGACCTTGCTTATCTTTAGTCATTTATTTAGTACTAGTAGTTCTATGAACTTTTGTACTCAATTTACCTCATAATAAAGGGACTACTCATTTTGTTCAGTTTGTGTATTTCCTTGCCAAAGAATTAGTCAGAAGTCTTATTTCTCAGGATGAGGCTTACTGATATTGAGGTATTTTCAAAACGAAACAAAAAAATTATGAATTTTCTATCATTTAATATGTAGTCCTTGGAAATCACAAGAACATTTAGCAAAACTATGATTTCCATACAAGTACTTTTATAAATGGAAACACTTAAACTTAGCTTTTGACATAACTCTTTTTAACTCTTTAAAAGATAAAAATTAATGATTTTCAATTTAGTAAATTCATTTTTTCAATAGGAGTATCAGAATATTAGTTAGATTTTACGGAACTGCTTTTACTGGGTTCAAAAGTCATCACATACTAGCTTTGTCACTTTGTGGACACATGACTAAAAACCAAGTATTTTTTTCTTTTCTTTGATATAATTAATTCCACCTTCACTTTATCTATCTAGCAACAGCCCTTATGGCTATAGTTAAACATTAGTGGCAGAAGAATATTGTTCATGAATTTCCTAAATAAACAAAATCATCAAATAATGTCATTCATGTTTAACATTCTAACAACAAATAATCCATCAAAATTTCTCATTAATCATATAAAAATTAAATCTTTATTGAAAATTACATTGATTATTTTATCACCATTAACGCTTAAGAAGTTACCATAGGCCTTAGGGCTATTCACTATTGTTAGCATGTCTCTTATCTATTACACTAGGCGCCAGGCGGACTTGGCTGGACAAAAACTGATTCTTTTATTCCACCTGTGATGTTCTTTTGACAGAAGTTAGGTCTCCTAAGAAGAAGCTATGATCCTTGCACAGAGAAACACTCAACTATCTACTTCAATCTTCCTGAAGTTCAGAAGGCTCTTCATGTTCATACTAGAGATTCATCATTTAAATGGGTTACCTGCAGGTATTATACCGGCAGGCCGGAATCCTAATGCTCTTATTGTTCACACTCCATGCCACATGCATTAAATGCTGCCATATTCCATACTATGGGAAAAAGTCCATGCCAAAAATAAGTGCAAAGAAATTCAAGGAGCTCATGTGGAAATATATTTATGTGGGGTGAGGGATCTCATTAATCTCATATTTAGAAATAAATTCACGTGGTTTTATGAAATTATAAAATCTAATGAGTATTTGTAGAAGTTTATCACTTTGAGTATGGACGCTTTAATGCCAATTGGATTTTGTCAGCGGCACTAAATTCTATTGAGCCCATTAATTGCATAAAATTAATTACCACAGTAAAAATATGGAAAAAGTATAGTGCTGGATGGTCTGTCCTTAACCTAAGATAAGAAAAAATGAGATGAAATTTCTAGATCTGCCATCACCATAGGTTATTTTCAGATGCACATAAAATACCATGAGACGTGGTGAGATGGGATATTTACTATTTCCATGTCCCGGTACAACATTTATAGAAGTTTCTCTGTACTTAAAATATCTCTGAACGTTTATGTACCATCCTTTTTGCAGTGATGAGGTATATGATTCCTGGAAGGATTCTCCTAGGACTGTGTTGGACATCTATCGTGAACTTTTAAGTTCAGGACTTCGCATTTGGGTATTCAGGTTCCCCCTAATCTCTTCCTACTGAGATGCATCTCGAGACATTTCTAACAGTGCTGGGGTTAGACTGTTACTTTTGTGGAGTGTAAACATGAATTTAAGAGCATGATGAGAAAGTTTAAAGTTGCAATGTACAACAAACACAAGTTCGGAGGAGAATACCAGATCTTCTTCTTTAACTTATGCTTTTACTCTCAATTAGCATAAAACTAATGTGAATGAATCAACTCGATCAACTTACAAGCTCTTACACCCCTAAAGCTAATTTTCAAGATTGATTTGAATAATTGACTAAAACCGCTGCAAAAGTTTTCTTAAAAGTTAAAGTTGACTTTTCAGAACAAAAAAATTCTTGAACCATGACCTTTTGTGGGAGAAGAGGGTGTCTAGGCTAAGGGTTTTACATTTTTCATGCATTTGACTACATAATATTACGTCTTGCCAAACAACACGTGCCTGAGCATCCTGCTTAAGAATTGAATCATATTATGCACCCATATGATGATGGTGGTGGTTTTTTCATCATCCATTTCTTTTTGTGACAGTGGTGATACAGATGCTGTAATCCCTGTCACATCAACACGTTATAGTCTGGATGCTCTCAAACTTCCCACGGTTGGCTCTTGGCGTGCTTGGTATGATAACGGACAGGTATTATCACTCCATTTTTACTTGCTGCGTTTCGTCTGTAACCCGACTGGTGGACAGACGGTCGGCCGGGATTGATTTGGAAGATGGTCAAATTTATATTCCAAACCAATTTAGACCATTCCTGTAGTAAATTACAGTGGCAGTCTTACTATGGGGACAATTTGTTTTTTCTCTAACCATATGGAGTTAGGCTTCATTCCTTGGCACTACACATGGTAGTGGCGTTTTATTCACTTTATTTTGTTTTTGCTGATTACTCACCTTATTCTAATCAGACCACTAGGCCAGAGATCACAAAGGGTTAGATCAGACTAAACCAAGAAGGTTTTCAAGTAAAAGAAAACCAGATGTTAATTTGAGATGAGAAGATTAGACAAACATTCATATCAGATCAAAGTAGAAATATTTAGTCCAGATCATGTTAGATCTTAAAGCTCATATCTGAACCACACTTTTGAGACAGAGAACAAATCCTATTAGTGGACTTCAATCCTTATAGCCATGTCTTAGATCTCACTGAATCAACATTGATGTGATGAATATATATGGCAAAAATAGGTTGGGGGATGGACACAAGAATATGAAGGGTTGACATTCGTCGCTGTAAGAGGAGCAGGCCATGAAGTTTCTCTACACAGACCCAAACTTGCCCTCACTCTCCTGGAGTCTTTCTTAGCTGGAACCTCAATGCCTGGTCCACAACAAATCAGTGACTGGTGATCATTTGTTTGCCCACGTTTCTCTTGCTCTTGTTAAAGAATGATCTTGCCTTTCAAATTACTCTGCAAAATGGTTAACTCTAAATATATTATCCATGTGTGATAAGGTTGCACATATATGGTTTTGGATTGTTGCATACATACTACACGCTATTGATTGAAATTATGATTTAATGCCATTTTTTTTTGTTTTGTTCATTGTTAGTATTACAACCCGATTTCCTTGCCTCTATCAAGTGAAAAAAGGAGAATATATGATATGAGAAAATCCTAATATATGAAGACAAAAAAAATGAAGAGAAAATCAACCAATTTTGATATAGAGACTTAAAAAGTTCTCATTTTTTGTCCTTGGTTGGGGTTTTGTTTTCTTGGTGGCCCTGATAATTGGGCTAGAATCTAGTCAAGATCTTTTGGCTCGAATGGACATTTTAATTTCATGATGCATTAAATATCACATTTGTAGCCTCCGTTGACCCCACAGCATTGCAAAGAATGTTTGTGATGGTCTTCTGAATGTTTAATCTAGCCTTCATCGAACCTTTCAGCAAGGTTATTCATAATCACATCAAATTTTGTGGTGGTCTTCATAAATTTTAGACAGAATACTTTAGGATTGTAACCTTTGAAAGCCGAATTGTATTAGGGTTTGCTTTACCATTGCTTTATCATTCAAAGCTTTAGAGTACTTCAGAATACTTTACCTATAGCCTCCAATGCATCTATATTCTCTGCCATTGAAGCTTTTTCGTCTTCATTTCAACATCTTCAATTGCCTTTCTTTTTCAAATTCCTAACACTGTTGTGCTCATTGTCCATTGATTATACTATATAAGTCTCTCTTTTCTACAGTCCCAAGAAGAAGATTACATGAATGGGGGTATACACTGCAAAACTTTCTATAATACACTTTCTGCCTTGCAGAATGGCAAATTTAGCTACTGCCAGTTTAAATGTTCCTACTCTAATTGGGAATCTTTACCCCACCTTACACAGTTACACTGACCGGTTAAAGAAGAATCTACGTTTGGGCAACATTTTCTCTAATTCAAACAGTTTAGCACAAGTTCCTGTCACCCTTTCTCTTGGAAGTATGTACTCACCACACTAATATCCTCTTCATTGTCAGCTAATTAATCAAAATTCAATCTCCTCATTTACTAAACGGTCCTCATCATCAAACACTTGCCCTTCATCATATTCTTAATTTCCCTGATCTTCTGCATCTCTGTTAATACACTGGCATCACGATGTGCATCGCAAGTTCACAACCGACCTGAGGCATACGGCCAATTTACACCATCACCATCTTGACTATGCACCTTACCAATTAGTTCACTCTATCTTATAGATTATATGGTCTAGGATGAACTAATCATAATAATTATCAGGTTGATGATTATGCTTGCGTATTTCTCTAAAGTTGGCGATGATAACACTCTCAATGTCAACAACATGCACTTGTTTTTTTGGATCATGTTTGCCTTGATGTGTAACGAGGATTTAACTCAATTTTTCCCATTTAAAGCACCTTCTTATCCTCGATAAACCCTCTTTAAAAAACCAACACAACTAATAAGAATCGATTACAAATTCAACGAGCATAACAAAAAAAACTACTGATTGAAGAGAAGAAAAATACCTGAATCTTGAAATCGGAATTGTTACCTTGAATCTTCAAGCTAGCATAGAAAAGCAATCTTCAAGTGAGAAGTAAGAATGAACGGCATAATAAGACACTTTCTTCTTTCTTTTTTAGTTGCAATGCCTACATTTTCACAAGTTTGGTCATTTATATAATACACTAGCACTACAAAAAAATTCGCCTGTAGTCACGGATTTAGTCACGGACCGTAGTGTAAAAAGTCCGTGACTAACACTTTTAGTCACGGACTTCGTCCGTGACTAGTTCAGTGACTAGTTCTGCGTGACTAGACTGTAGTCACGGACCAGTGGCCGTGACTAGGTGTAGTCACGGATTAGTCACGGATCGACGTCCGTGACTACATCTTGACCGGAATAAGTCTCCGGCACGTTAGTCACGGACCAAATCCGTGACTACTTTTAATTTAAATTTTTTTTGAGTTAGTCACGGACACGAGCCGTGACTAAGTTCAATTTAATTTTTTTTATTTTGTGGTAGTCACGGACGTATCCGTGACTATATTAAATTTAAAAAAATTGAATTTATTCCGGATAAAATGTAGTCACGGATCTGGTCCGTGACTAATGTTTTTGTTTAAAAAAAAAACAATTTTATATAAAAAAAATAAAAAAAAACGAAAATTGAATTTATTCCGGATTAAAAAGTAGTCACGGATTAAGTCCGTGACTACTGTTTTTGATTTAAAAAAAAAACAATTTTTTATAAAAAATAAAAAATTATTTTAATTTTATTTTTGAGAGCAATTACAATAAAAATAAATTCCATACGCTATTAAAAATAAAAATGTTATTACAGACAGAATTATAAAAACAAAATCGATACAATGTCAAACAATATAATGTAATTACATGCCCGTACGTCGGACTCCATTGTGATAATAATTAGAATCATCATAATCGTAGTCATCATCATTATCATCATAATCACGATGATGATCCTCTTCTGCATCCACGGGGTCCAAGGGTCGGGAACTTCCTCGGCTGCCTCGGTTGCCTCCTCGATTGCCTCCTAGGTTGCTTCCTCGGTGGCTTCCTCGGTGGCTTCCTCGGTGGCTTCCTCGGCTGCTTCCTCCCGATGACTGAAACTGATTGAGCATATCAGGCGACAGAGATCCAAATGTCGACCCTATTGCATCCCGCCTACCGACTGCAAGACTCTAGTCATGCAAGTTTCAGGGAGACTGTATTCAGCTTTTATGTTCATAAACTCTGTAACGGCGGATAGCTGAGAGTATCCCTCACAATCAGCATACAAGGGTTGATCAGCTGCTTTTAAAACATCTTGAAACCTTTCAGCTAAACCTTCATCCACATAAGGTTCATAAAATATCGGATTTTCATCCTCATGTGGTTGATACGAGGTCGAAGCTTCAGGAGGATCGTTAGATGGTTGTGGGGGGTTGAACTGAGACATCGATGCACCGTATGCGTCATATACCATACGTTGCTCCCATCTCATTTCAGCAGGGTCTCCCCACGCACTCATCTCTGCAGGGACGTTACGAGACGAACCTACCGTTTGTGGTAAAACAGATGGATCCAAAGGTTCGCCATGAGAAGTCCAATTGTAATAATTGGGAAGGAAACAGTCCGCGTACAAATCCCACCCAACTTCTTCTGGGTGTTTAAATTTGAGATTTTTACACTTTGAACATGGACATCTGATTTTATCACCACTCATATAAGCCGGATGTTCAAGTGCAAATTTAATAAACTCCTCAACTCCTTCAAGAAAATTTGATTGCATTCCGTACAATACCGCATGTTTATCGTACATCCAAATTCTATTTTGTCTATACATTATGCCTGAATATTATAATAAAAAAATTATACAGGTTAAAAACTCTAAATTATAAACATTACCAACATATTATATATGTGGAGTATTATTAATATATTAAAATCAACTAATTCCCTAAAATTCCCTTAAAATTAACCAATTCCCGTAAATTTCACTAAATTTCACTAAAATTCCCTTAAAATTAACTAATTCCCTAAAATTCCCTTAAAATTAAATAATTCCCTTAAAATTAACTAGTTTCCTTAAATTTCACTAAAATTCACTAAAAATCCCTTAAAATTAACTAATTCCCTAAAATTCCCTTAAAATTAAATAATTCCCTTAAAATTAACTAATTCCCTTAAAATTAACTAGTTTCCTTAAATTTCACTAAAATTTACTAAAATTCACTAAAATTCCCTTAAAATTAAATAATTCCCTTAAAATTAACTAATTCCCTTGAAATTAACTAGTTTCCTTAAATTTCACTAAAATTCACTAAAATTCCCTTAAAATTAACTAATTCCCTAAAATTCCCTTAAAATTAACTAATTCCCGTAAATTTCACTAAATTTCAATAAAATTCCCTTAAAATTAACTAATTCCCTAAAATTCCCTTAAAATTAAATAATTCCCTTAAAATTAACTAATTCCCTTAAAATTTACTAGTTTCCTTAAATTTCACTAAATTTCACTAAAATTCCCTTAAAATTAACTAATTCCCTAAAATTCCCTTAAAATTAAATAATTCCCTCAAAATTAACTAATTCCCTTAAAATTAACTAGTTTCCTTAAATTTCACTAAAATTCACTAAAATTCCCTTAAAATTAACTAATTTCCTAAAATTCCCTTAAAATTAACTAATTCCCGTAAATTTTACTAAATTTCACTAAAATTCCCTTAAAATTAACTAATTCCCTAAAATTACCTTAAAATTAAATAATTCCGTTAAAATTAACTAATTCCCTTAAAATTAACTAGTTTCCTTAAATTTCACTAAAATTCACTTAAAATTAACTAATTCCCTAAAATTCCCTTAAAATTAACTACTTTCCTTAAATTTCACTAAAATTCACTTAAAATTAACTAATTCCCTAAAGTTCCCTTAAAATTAACTAATTCCCTTAAAATTAACTAATTGCCTAAAATTTCACTGAAATTCACTAAAATCCCATTAAAATTAACTAACGTCCAATAATTAATATTATTAAACTATAAACATGCACAATACGTTAATGACATTAATTTAATCCACAATACTAAAATTATCAACATCTTAATCTTATTAATAATGCACATTTAACAATTTACGTACTAAATTAAATAATATGAGCAAATTCAATAATTTGAGCATATATATATATAATAATTTGAGCATTTATATAAACACATTTAAATTAAATTAACTAACCCTAATTTAAATCATTATTAATCCTAAATTAGGCCGCCTTAATTAACAATACTTGCCAATATAAAGAAATCATATACTTATATTTAATCATATA